TTGTTTTAATTAATAATGTTGTTACTAAGAACATTCTTCGTCTCATAATGTTGTTGTTCAGAATAATTTACTTTATAACCGACATACTCGTATCTTTAAAAAAAACATATATAATTTAATAGAGTAGATAAGCATGCAGAGCATGCAGCATGCATTGGTATCTCCTCGTCTCCGGCGCTGCGGGATGTGCAGCCCTTCCGCCCTTGCGTAACGAGGCTCAGGCACCCACGCTTGCTTCCGCAGCTTCGGCTTTTTCGACGCATCGACAGCCCTAGCACCGAGCGCAGAGATTTTGACAACCCTACGGCTGCGCGGCCGCACGCCGCACGGACCGAGCTAATATAAGAGACGGCGGCGACCGCGGGCGCCTAGCATTCGCTCGGGAGCCATTGCAACAACCAGACGTTCGCGCGCGCGTCTATTGTTCCCTCGGTTGCATTGCACAGAGTCCCTAGCGAATTGCTACCCACACTGTTCCCACTAACTTGGCTTGACTCGATACCTCGTTTACCTCCGCGGAGCCATAAAGCTTCGTGTTGCTGTTGAAACGTTCTATCGTTGATAGCTACCTATTCTCATCCCTACCGAGTAGTGCATGCGATACTCATCCCGAACCCGCGGTAGCAATCCTGCTGCCACCCATCCTAAACTTCATACCCCCTCGCCACGTAGGTCCGACGCCTTTCCCTAACGGTTTCAGCTCCCCGACGACTTAGGTCTCTGGTTGTAGCGTATGAAAACACGTCCTACCCCCCTAGTTATAAGTATCCACTAATACTCGCTAAACCTCGCACAGGGCGCCGCCCCTCTCGCGGATACGTAAACTAGTTTCGGGACGCGAACCGGGCGCGTCGCTATACCTCTCATTGCCATTGATTTATAATTGTTGAATAACCTGTAAAGTACTTACTCGTAGTAATAATAAATTTAGAGTCAGTGAAGTTAGAATAAGGAACCATTGTGGAACTAGAAATACAAAGTGTCATTGTGTTATTGATTGTGCGTTTCCTTGGTCAATATCCCTGTAGGCATCCTGGATAGGTACACATCCCTCATCGCAGAAGGCGAACTGGGACTTAGTACTAAACAGCGGGGTGTCAGACTGAGCTAGCTAAGACGCCCCGTTGCAAAAGTAATGATCGTCATTCCATTGTGCTAAATAGTACTAGTGGCGCCCTCTTTGTCAATGTTCTGTTTTTGTTTTGTTTTGTTTAATGTTTTTTTTTTTATTTATAATGTTGGTTGGAGAGGCTCCCGCTGAAAACCACCGTCGGGGCACGCGTGCATGCACGCGTGGCTCCTTTTTGGCACAAAAATATGCGTGTATAGTTTTAAGGCCCTTTGTTCTGTTTTTTATTTTTTCCTTTTTTGTGTCAAATAAAGTTTTTCTTATTCTTATTCTTATCCTAGGTTAATACAGTATAATCTCGATTATCCGGATATCCGATTATCCGGACTCATTCTTCACGATTTCTAATTACCGATTGGAGGTCTGGACCCATAAAAACGGAAGGTGCCGCCACCGTAACACGGTATGGACGTCGTTTAGTTCATTGTTAAAAGAAATGGACTCATCCAATGGTATAAAATTTAGATTTTTAGATTCTAAATGATGTATTGAAAACCCTTTCTATTGTAAAAAGTTAATTATTGTTTGATTTTACTTTGAATTCGATTATCCGGAACACAGGGGTGTTTTAATTGATCCGGATAATCGGGATTCTACTGTAATAGATCTTATCTTAATTTCCTATAAAATAGACAATACTTTTTTCAATAATATTAGAAAGAGAGTTTAACTCCAGTAATTCAATTGGCTATACATATACCCGTTATTAGGTTTTGTACAACAGTGAATTTCAAAGGTTTTGAAGTCTACGTATAACACAATATTTAAAAAAATTAAAGTTTTTAAAAAAATCTCTTAGTTACTTCAAACTAATGCAGAATCCTTTAGCAACCCTTGATGATTTTGTATCTCGTAAAAATGAAATCTTCCAAAATCAAACTTAAACTAAAATGAAGATCATAGAATAGAAACAATGCGCGAGCGCAGTGTAATTTTCATAATGGATTAAAAGGGTTAAAAAAAGCCGCTCAGACAGCGACAACGCCCCACCCCCTCCGCCGAAGCGGAGGGCGAACGATCATCGAGGGCTGGCAGTGGACACTGCCGCCCGTCTCACGCTCAGGGCGCCGCGCCACGTCTCATCAACGCGGCTAAGGGTGGTTTCACATAGTGTGAAGGTCTAGCGAAGAGCTTACTATAGAAATGATCCTATGAAGTAAGGTCTTAACTCGTCTGACTCAACGCAGGGATGTCTTTACCGGAAAAAAAACTCTGATATCGCGTTTTAAAGTCGGACACCGCCATCTAGCGGCGCTTCGCGTTAGTAAAAACCAGCCGATTCATAGCGGTCGCGGCACAGTCGCGGTGTGCTATTACAAATACCACGCGTTGCTCTTTGTGTTATCTCGATCATGACCTTCAAGTTCACCGGAGCCGACCATATCCACAGTTCATATGGTTGAGCTAATGTAATCTTTATGTCAATAATATTGAAGTTCATATTGCAAAGTTCGTCTGCGATACTAGCCCCACGGCGAGGAACTTATTTGTACAGCAGCTTTTATTGATTTGATAAACAAATATTGAAGGATTTTATTTTAGATTGTTCGGTTGTCTTTAATAAACGATATTTGTTCAAATAATTATGTAATAACCAGCGGCCGCCCGCGTCTTCGTACGCGTGGATCTCGGTTTACCCCTTAGGGGTTGAATTTTACAAAATCCAGCGAGCGTCTACGTTCTAAAAGGAACCATGTAAAATTTGAGACTTCTAGCACTTGTAGTTTCTGAGATTTCGTGATGAAAGAGTCAGTCAATCAGTGACCTTTCGCTTTTAGATATAGATTTTACTTTACCCGACCGGATACGCCATGGAAGGTTTTTGTAATCTCTTATACAGGGTGGCCAAAACAGTGAGGTCTAAAAGAAAAATTTAGATTCCTTAGATCAAGGTGTACCTAAATCACCCCCATGTATGTGATACGATTGTGCTTAGTTTAGGAGATAGAGTTAATTTTGTGATAATTTAAAATTTTGTGACCTAGTAGGCTTTAAACATTTTTATCTTTTTTTTGGGGTGACTTTTCTCAGATTTCTTTTTTTTCGATAGATTTGTTATTAATTGCAGATGTTTGAAAAAAATAATCACCTTCCTATCTTTGATTCAAGATACAAAAGTTTTGCTAGAAACATTAAAATTATGCTTTTATCAGAACACTATCAAAATTTCAACTTAAAAGTTTAAGTAAAAAAAAGTACTTCCATAGGTCCAAAACCATTTTAAAATGGTTTAGGAAGCCATAGTTCCTCTGTAGTTGAAGTTCCCTTCCACCTTCAGCCTAATCATCAGTTTCCGCCAGGTGTGATGAAGGGCAAGAGCTTCCTCGTTGAGAATAAAAACATGTTCTGTCCAGTTATTGCTCTAAATCTGTTCTACGTAATGTTAACTTAGAGGATTCCCAATATTAATTCAATCTAAGAAAGTCAAAAACATGTAACGGAATCTCCGACTTTCCATTTTAGTGGACCGATTACAGGAAATAGTGGCCCATTAAGTACATGTTTTTTTGTATTATTATGAATGTTCAGGAAACGGCGCAGTTTTTATAATGATTTTGGACCTATGGAAGTTCTTTTTTTTACTTAAACTTTTAAGTTGAAAATTTGATAGTATTCTGATAAAAGCATAATTTTAATGTTTCTAGCAAAACTTTGGATGGAGGTGAAGGATAACACTAAATTTATAGCGGTGCTTGAGAAAAATTGGGATCAGTGGATTGATGCGAAGTCGTTGGAAAGACTTCGGATCAACTGTGGACCAGTGCGAAAACCCTTTTGGAAAGCGCAGTTAGGGAGTGTAATACGCCTTCGACAACCGTAAAACGGCAACACTGGATGAGTGATGATACTCTGGGGCTGGTTGAGGAGAGACGAAGACTCAAATCTGCGGGTGCTAACATCAGAAAATTGAATAGCCTCTCTGCAAAAATCCAAGCTGGATGCAGGCGAGATCTAAATAACAATCTGCGGAATATCTGTGCAGAAATTGAAGTACAGTCACGGAATGAAAAGGTTCGTCAGTTTTCAAATTGATTCCTTCAACGAATCGCGAGCACATATTACCTTTTGAAACTATGTTACAGAATAATCTCGAGTTAGAGAAAATAATCTTTAACTGTTCGTCAGTAAAGTTCAAAATTATTCAGATCAAAGTTGTTTGACGATTTATCTTGTCAAGAAGATTATTATGATTGATAAACTAAAACCTTCTTGTTGGTTCAACCTGCCATTATTTCTATTAAAGTAATAAATTTATGAAAACAAATATTAGGATAAATCACATTTATGAATATTAGAGTTATTTATTCGAATGATTATGAGTTTCGATCATTAGTATAGAAAAACGTATGAAAACAAATATTAGTAAAAACTAAGTGTATGATTAGTGACATTATGAATAACAATGATTATGTTTTTAAATATGTAGGTTTTAAATTTTTTATGAAGAATAATCATTATGGTATCAAATTGTATGAGAAATATTTTCGGACCTCCAATGATAGGAATTGAAAAGTTATGTAAGAAAATGCGCTACCATCTTTAGTGGCACATTCACAATTCAGGAGGCGCACGATTGCATATTATTGGAATAAATCGAGCCGCATCGAGAAGTTTCAGTTAATTGTTGGTCCTGTAATGTCTGCAGGCTACGTCCACAAGGCTCTGTGTATGATGAAAGCGAGCGCGGGAGCGGAAGCATATCCATACACTATTGGACTATTGGATATTCTTAGTTGATCTTGGTTTTTCCGCCTCTGGCAAACTTATATTGCCATTGCCACCATATTTTCAGTTCTAAGCTAAAATTTACTAATGGATTCCAAATACTTGTTGCATACTTAAGGGATTAAGCTAAAATAATGGCACTTACCTCTGTTTCCTCTCATAGTGTTGGGTGATGAGATTTGTGTAGAAGTTCTCGAGGGTGACCTTGGCCTTGGTGGCCTTGTCCAGCGTGTGCCCGCTGAACCGGATGTTATCGGTGCCCGTCATCTCCAGCACCCCTGGAAGAAAAGGGTAGAGTTAGAAAAAAACATTCATAACAACCGCCTCCTTTTTTGATGTCGGTTAAAACGCAGAGGACGGGTAAAACTGCATGGGAATTTGGTTTTCAGTTTACTCTAAACTGACTTTGATTTATTGATTTGAACGATATTTAACGATTGCCATTGAGAATTTAAGACTAAGGTTTTTAGGTGACAGACTTCTTAAATGCCCCAACCCCAAATGTTTTCAGAGGTAAACAAAATCTATTATTACATCGGCCGTCCAATCACATTTGCTACAATCCTGAATCGTAACAGACAGCCTCTCAACTTTCACCTATTTCATATCAGCATTTATCTTCTCTACTTTATACATGATTATTGATTTTACTAAAAATAGCTCCATAAGAACTCAAATGGGTGGCCCTTAAAATGAATTTCTTCAGACTTCTTTTCGTTTTAAAGAGCAGCTCGCAGTTCGTAGAAAAAGTCATATAATGGGCACGTGCAACATCATCCGCAATGTAAGGTGAACGCGGAAGCGGTGCAAGCGCTAATATCATAAAAAGATTCGACTCTAATTACATATTGGATAAGTCACATATTAGAATGCAACTTTCAACACTACCACTGTTGTCAACCCCTTGTTTGATAAATAAACGCCTAATTTCATACTACAAAGAGTTGATTCTCGAGTCTCGACCACAATCCGCTACGCGCTCGTATCCGCGCCCTCAATGTTTACATAAATAAATGTCTCATTTTTCTGTGTAACAAGTATAATCCATCTTTTCCAGCCGGATAAAATGAAAAAACTTATTTAAACAAACAACTCTGAAATTGGGCAGTAATCGAGAACATAACACTATTTAATATCAAAATATTAATTTTATAATAGTACATTATTATTTTAAAAATTGTTATAAGACAAAGGACTATAAAACTGTCAGGGTGTGATGTCTTATTCCTTACATACTACACAAAGTTTGACTTTTTTCAGCAGCATAACAAGTTCAGTGAAAGAACGTAATAATGGGATCAGACGTTTCAGCGCCCATTTAGTGGGGTGCGCAACAAGTGATACGACCAAAGCTCACGGATTCCACAAACCCTATTCAGACACAATAAAGGTCAGACGAACATGATGTCTGTATTAGACAAATCACAGCCGAGTAGGGTCAGCCATGATGAAGAACGTTATGAGAATCAATATTAATTTAGATGGAAATTTTAGATTTAGTAATTTGATAATAATCGACGAATATAGATTTGTGCAATGTTAGTGAAAGACAATCAAAGTTCAAAGGGAAACTTTTATCTTTAAAGTTATACATAAGTTAAACTTGAGGTGTCACCAACAGCACCAACTATGTATTTTGAAGTATGATTATTTTAAGAAGTAAATTAGAATACTTAGGAAAAACATAAACAATAGTAAATCATTGCTGAACAGTGGTTGTACAAGATCATTAAAAACATAAGTAGCCCTCAGCGAAAAGTGATCAAATTGTGTAATTATGTTCCCTGTTGCTGTTAGTAAATGCAAATGGTGTTAACCTTTTATGTCTCCAATGGTCCCCAGAGTTTCGGGTTCCGCCGGGTTATCCGGATCTACCGGGGTTTCCGGGTCCACCTGGATTGCCCGGCGGGCCGGTTGCGCCGGCTTCACCGGTATAACCGACGCTACGGGGTGGGCCGGCAGATCCGGGGAAGAGTTTCTGTCGCGCCATCGCCGCCTTGGGCGGGAGAACACCATGCTCAGGGACGAGAATATCTTCCCTATATTGATAGCTTTTTTCCCCTAGACACAAACTAACCTCCTCAAGAGGTCTACAAAAATATTAAATGATAGTTCGATATCGAAACAGTATTGAACCCTTGTCTGGTTTTTTTTCTTATTAGAGAATCTGCGAGAAGAATCTACGTTTTGTAACCAACATTATGCCCTAACGTATGCACAAAGTAGCGATTCCTTTATCGTCGTGTTTACAATCATGCGATTATTAAAAACATCTTAGGCGATTATTGTTTATTTTCTACTACTACACAACTCGTTCATAAAGTATTTATTAAGGGAAAGCTCAGTGTTTGTCTCTGACTCTAACACGACTGCTGAACAGTGACAAAATTTTTTTCGGCAAAAAATATTGACAGTTACAGTGGGTAGCATAAGCCTGAAATGGGCAAACATTCATGGATGTTTATATTCGGATTATAATATGAATATAATAATCCGAATCATGGCTGTCCAGAATATTGCGAAATCGATTGCGGAGAGGTAATTAGTGTAATAAGTAATACTGCGAAATTAAAAGCTTTCCACTTTTATGTCGTCCATAGCTTTTCCAGGTGCATGTGTAAAGCTCTGTCTGATGGGACTGTAAGCTGCTTACGATTTCATATTACTCTGTGATATTTTAAACCTTTATAAAATTCTGGCGGGTGCGATGCCGGGGCATTTAGCGTGCGTTTCATTGGAATAAAATGAGGACAAAGGTTAATTTTAGCGACAGAAACTTTAGTCAGCCATTTGGTGCAGTGGTTCAGAACGGACTACCATGCCGAGAGGTCCCGGGTTCGATTCCCGGCCGGGCAGAAATTGAAATGATGAATTTTAATTTCTGTGACGGGTCTGGGTGTGACTATGTATAATATTTATGTATTTAAAAAAAAGTATATAAGTAGTATATCCGTTAAGCTAGCACCCATAACACAAGCATTAAGTTGCTTACTTTGGGGCTAGCTGGCGCTGTGTGAAATTGTCCAAAGATTTATTTATTTATATTTAATACTCAATGTGGACAGCATGAATTACTTCTGTTATTTCAAAGGCTTTAGGTTAATTTAGTAACAATATTTGTATACCAACATGGAGTAATTAAGAATTCGATATTATTTGCCGACACACAATTTGCCGAGACACTTATTTTGTGTACCTACGCGATAACTAAAAATAGAATTAAGAAGTTTGTATATTCGTATAATGAGCTGTTATTTTCTGACTAAATAAACTATTTTTTGTGTTACATTCCCTTAAACTTTTACGGTTGGTTACCTAACTGGACGAAGACTCAAATCTACGGGTGCTAACATCAGAAAATTGAATAGCCTCTCTGCAAAAATCCAAGCTGGATGCAGGCGAGATCTAAATAACAATCTGCGGAATATCTGTGCAGAAATTGAAGTACATGCAGACAAGTACGAAACCAGAGACCTCCATCAGAAGATCCGGTCACTAACTAGGACACTCTCATCGAAGACCTGGGCGATAGAGAATCACAATGGTGAGCTAATTACAGAAATGGATGGGATATCTGAAACATGGAAGATCTACTGTGAGGCTTTGTTTCAGGATCCAAACTCACAAGAATTTCCNATGGTGAGCTAATTACAGAAATGGATGGGATATCTGAAACATGGAAGATCCACTGTGAGGCTTTGTTTCAGGATCCAAACTCACAAGAATTTCCATCAACAGAACCAGGGAATGATCTAGAACCAGACATCCTTAAAGAAGAGGTACGTGCCGCTATCAAACACCTGAAAACTGGTAAAGCTACTGGTATAGATGTCATCCCGATAGAGGTAGTCAAGGCTGCGGGGGATCACGCTGTCCAAATATTTCATACTATATGCAATAAAATCTGGCATACCGGTACATGGCCAAGGGAATGGGTCCATACAATCTTCATTCCTCTTCATAAGAAGGGCTCCACAAAAGTATGCGGTAATTATAGACTCATTGCTCTAATATCCCACGCGAGTAAAATACTGCTACACATTCTGAATGAGCGCCTTAAGGCCTTCCTTTCGAAAGAAATCGCTCCTGAGCAGGCGGGTTTTGTGAAAGGAAAGGGCACCCGCGAGCAAATTTTTACTGTGCGCCAGATCATCGAGAAAGCGAGAGAGTTTAACAAACCTACGTATATCTGCTTTGTAGACTTCTCGAAAGCATTCGATTCGGTGAGGTGGCCAGTTTTATGGGGATTTTTGCTGGAAATGGGCACGCCAAAACATCTTGTCCACTTACTCAGACGCCTGTACGAGAGCGGATTGGCATCAGTAAAAACAGATGAAACGCTGTCGAGTCATTTCCATCCGGATGCAGGAGTACGCCAGGGCTGCATTATTTCACCTCTACTTTTCAACATCTATACAGAGATGATAATGAGAATTGCCTTAGAAGATTGGACGGACGGAGTCGTAATTGGCGGTAAAAAGATCTCCAACTTACGATATGCGGATGATACGACCTTATTCGCTACTGGTGCTCGTCATATTATGGAAGATCTGCTACATAAGATGGAAGCTACAAGCCGAGAATTTGGATTGAAAATAAATCGCACAAAAACCAAAATGATGATTGTCGACCGCGCCAATAACAACTTACCAGGGATTATNCTGATGCTTGTCATATGGAAGATCTGCTGCACAAGATGGAAGCTACAAGCCGAGAATTTGGATTGAAAATAAATCGCACAAAAACCAAAATGATGATTGTCGACCGCGCCAATAACAACTTACCAGGGATTACACACATAGGGAATTGCGAGGTTGTTAAATCATACATTTATCTTGGGGCATTGATATCCAATGAAGGCGGGTGCATAGACGAAATCAAGCGACGCAACGCAGTCACTAGGTCTGCTATGGACAAAATGAGGAAGATTTGGTGCAACAGAAACATCACCAAGGCCACGAAAACCAGGCTCGTTTATTGCCTAATATTCCCCATTTTCCTCTATGCGTCGGAAACATGGACTCTTCGTGAAACCGAAAGGAAGAAGATTGACGCATTGGAGATGTGGTGCTGGAGACGGATGCTGGGAATATCGTGGACCGAGTTTCGTACCAATGACTCCATATTAAATGAACTCCGCATCAGACAGCGCCTATCAACCACGGTTCAGTCACGCATTTTAACCTTCTTCGGCCATGTATCTCGGCGCAGTAATGACTCCATAGAGCGTCTCGTAGTACAGGGAAAAGTTGAGGGCACCAGACCACGTGGTAGATCA